TCAGATTATATGGTGCACCCAGAATCCTCACAGTCTAGTACAGGAAGGTCAGATGGGGGAACCACTTTGGAAGTATGGCAGTTCCTCGTCAGGTTAAAACACTTGCTTACCTTCGCACCAAGAAATGCCCTTCCTAAGTACTTACCGAAGAGAAATGAAAACTTTAGTCTACCCAAAGAATCGTACAAACATATTCATGGCAACTTTATTTTAAAATTCTAAATGGTAAACAACCTGAATGTCCATTATAGGCAAGTAGATGAACCCATTGTGGCATGGTCACACATGGAAATACTCAGAAAAAAAAAAAGGAATCAATTATTGATAGAGATGAGAGAATGAATCAGGTTTAAAACATTGTTGAGGGGCTCCTGGGTGGCTCAGTGGATTAAACGGCTGCCTTTGGCTCAGGTCATGATCCCAGGGGTCCTGGGATGGAGCCCCACATGGGGCTGTCTGCTCAGCAGGGAGTCTGTTTTCCCTCTTCCTTTCCCTTTGCCCTTCCCCCAACTTGTGCCCTCTCTGTCAAATAAGTAAATAAAATCTTTTTAAAAAATGGTTGTGCAAAAGAAGCCAGCTGCAAGAGTGAATGCTGGCTGATTCTACTTACATGAGTTTCCAGAGAAGGCAAAACTCCGCATCTATGTGTCTATGCTGACAGAAATCAAACCACTGGTTGTCTTGGGTGAAGGGGACACAGATATTGACTAGAGGGGGGCTGGTAGATGGGGAGACTTGGTGCTGTGGTTAGACAACAGAGAAGAGTATCAGGGAAATGTGAGGTGATTCAATCCTGCCAGCTCTACTTAGAGTTCAAGGTCATGAATTTAGAGTAATTCCAGCAGCATGGTTGTGTTTACCCAAGTTCCACTGGACATATACAGAGACAGAGAACTGGATTGAACCAGGGTACCTGGTTTTGCTAAGTGAGTAAGATGAAGGGAGATGGACAAATCAATTCTTAATCCCACCAGAATGAAAAGACTTTTCTTTTGCTTGTTCCTACAGAGAAACAACATCCCCAAATATGCATGAAGCACAAATCAGCAAAAGTGCCAAGTAGACCCGAAAGGATCCCCTGTCCCACTTCTTCTAGTCAGCTCTGTCTGACTCCAGGGCCTCACCCAGGGACCTGCTGGGCTTTTTGAGCAACTCTCTATCTGTGGGATTCTTCTGCTCACAGGACCTCCTTGAAGATACTTCATTAGCTCATGAAAAGCATCTCCTACCCCACCTGCAGAATCAGGCACCAGCCGGTGAAACTCAACCCCAGTGCCATTCCGCACAGACTGCTTGTTGTCCAAAGAGCCGTGTCAGGTATAATCAGCTTTCCCAGAATGTGTACAAGCAGTTCAACCTTTACCACTGGAGGTAGCCAGCCAAGAGAAAGGCAGAACGAGTGGAATGTGGAAGGAGGAGAAAAGTATAAAGGAGAACAAAAATCCCAGGGGTTTAGCCTCTTCAGGAGGCTAAACCTGAAGAGGCTAAACCACAGACCTTTCATCCTGAGCCTAATGGAAGACAAGCAGACTTTCTCGTTCATCTGTTTTATGAACTTCTTAACTGGGATCGGTCACCCCAGACTTGAATAGAACTCATTAGCTCTCACCCTCCAAGAAGAGTCTGAACCTGGATCCCTTGCTTCAGTCCCACAGCTGAGACCAACTGGCCCTCTTCTTTGGATACTTCCCTCCTTGGCAGCCAACAAACCTACATTCTCAGCAAGGAGGTGACTCATGACCTCTCAGCCCCAGTCCTTTTGCCAGCTCATTTCTCGGTTCCTGGCTTTGGCCAGCAATGTATCATGAAGTACCCTGAGGGCACTTCACCAGTTCAAATTCCTGCTCCGAGTCTCTGGGACTGGCTGTGTGAAATGAGATAAGAATATAGCATCTGTCTATTATTAAGGTAGATGCCGTCCTTGCACACGCTGAGAAGGAGGTGCCTGGGGAGAGAAGGTCTTCCAGAGTCTCCCAGTGAAGCCAGAACTTGCAGCCATTCCAGGCCTGATTTACTGCCCTGCCAAACATGGCACTGAGCCTGGAACCCCAGGGGAGACAGAAGAGGCTGCCCTTAGGTGTTCCATCTCAGTTTTACGATTGGATTTACCAGTTTAGTTTCCTGGATCCTGGTTACTCATTCTACCTGTAACCCACCAGGCTTCATGGTCTTCCACTCTTAGAAGGACTGCTCCAGTGGGACAGATGACTTTCTCATTAACAGCCGGTCTATGGTCTAGAAACCTTCAGAGCCAAGGTCTGAGTCCAACCTGGGGAAGATGCTAGACCCACAGGCCTAGCCTTGACCAGGCTGACCCCAAACTCCCAGCCATACTAGCCTTAGTTAGTACACTGTGTTCAGAAATACTTGGTTGCGCTTCTTTCTAGCACAAAATTTCCTTCTCCAAAGCCCCTGTTGGGCTGTTGCTTGTTGGTGGTAATGAAAATATTTCAATCCAATGATCACATTTATAGACCACTCTGAATACAGTGGTCTAACCCAAATATCAGCTTATCAAAAAATGGCCTCAGTCAGGGCAGCCTTATTCATTCTACTCTGATGTGTCAGGTGGATTCAAGAGAGGAAAAACACCTGGGGGTCTGCCTCCAGGACCTAACCACAGAGGAAGGAGGTAGACATGCCAATAGAACGGCTGGATGAGGAGTAATGGGCAATGCTCAGCACGTGACCATTTATCACACATGGTTTCCACTCTTCAAGAGTGATGCCCACGGCCCATGACAAGTACTACGGGGCCGCGTGCAAGGGCAGGATAGGTTGAGCCCCAGTGGCACTGATGGCCAATGAAAATACTATTGGCATTTTGGGTGGGACAATGCTTTGTCGTGTGGGACTGTCCTGTGCTTTGCATTCTCAGCCTTCATCATTGACAGTTCATAGCAACCCCCAGTGACCGTGATAACCAGTCACGTTTCCCAGAGGTGGGAGGGTCGGACTGTCCAGGTCACCACTGCCCTGAGGAATCCGAACACCAGGGGCCTGTGGCTCAAGGCAATGATGAATTCTTGGCTCCTAGCTACTCAGGCATTCATTCTGGTCAATTGGGGAGAAGGGGGCAAAGGGAAAGGAGACAGGTGTGGATGGAGCACCAGGGCTCTGACTGTAGGCCCAAATCCAACTGGAATGTATATCTATGGTTTTTAGGTGTTTGGCGTCTGTTCCTACTTCTTTTGGTAACAGGTTACCAAAATTACTGTATGGCCTCTTCCCTGCTGTCCTCAGTTGCTCCATGGAGTTGGCCCTCAGTTCCAAAGGTGGTTCTAGCCTGGCCACTCAGAGCAGGGGTAGAACATGGGAAGAACGTGGGTTCCAGGAGGGACGCAGGGCCCAGTGAGAGGATGATCAGACTCTTTGCTGCTGGGAAGCAGACCACCTTCCTGCCAGACTTGACCTTCAGAGGTGGGCGGGGAGTGCCCCCCACCCCGCCGCAGTTGCTGCTGTGGCCATCTGGCCTCCCTTGTGGGAAGAGTCTGCCAGAAGATGGAAGCTACCGTGCAAAAGCAGGTAGAAACAGGATTGGGGGCATGGCCTGTGCCCCTTGGAAGAGACCACATCTGAGCTGGAATTCTCTCTTGATTTTTATAGGATTTAATACGTCCCCATTTGTTCAGGCCAGTTTGGGTGAGGTTGTCCAACATTTATGAAAAGGGACCAATGCCAAGGCCAGGAAAAGGAGTTACTATCTTCAGTTGGAGGACCCAGGGTGAGCAGAGGCAGCAACCGTGGGCCCCAGTCCTCACCACCCCATTTCTGGTACCTTTCATCCTGACCCGTGGGACAGATGGGTAATATGACCTTGCCCCACCCGGGACATCTGTATTCTTCCTGGGTAGGCTGCTTCCCAGGGGAGGTGCTTTTCAGTTCTTGTACTCTCTCCCCACCGGTATACTGGTACCTCCTTAGGAAAGGAAATCCTGGGATTGGGAGGTGGTAAGTGGGGTGCAGGCTTCCTGGGAACTGGCCTGGACCACCTTGCCCAATCCTACCTTCCCCATTTCCGGTAGACCAGATCCCTGCCTCCTCAGGGGCCGTCCTGCTGACTCCCAGCCTGACCAGCTCTTGGAGTGAGCTGCAGATCACTTGATCAGGGCTCTATGCACTCACTTGAGTTCAGAGCTGTCCTCCTCCCCATTAACCACCACCTGGTATCCCCTGGCCATGACTGAGGGCTTCAGTGCCTTCTGGACTTCCAGTGGTAGCCATCTACATTTCTTTGCCCAGGGCATCATTTCTGGAGTGAACAAAAGTCCCAGGGGAATTAACCACCTCCCTTCCAACACCCCTTAACTGAGGACCAATGGGTTGGGTGTATAAACATCCAGCTTTCTTGCCTCTGCCAGGATTACTCTAAGGTTTATGGTCTGTCTCCCCTCCTCAACCATGGCACCCCCATACCCAGGCTACCCCAGCAGATCTAAGCTTCAGTTGTTCCCAGTGGCCACTGCTCTGAATTGACTGTCATCTCACTCTGCCTCAGCCGCTCAAGGACCCCCAGACTCTGGAGGGGGGCAGCGAAGTTGCGGGACAGACCCCAAGGTTTCAAGTCGCTCTGTGCCCTGTCCCTGCGCCTCTCCCATCACAGGTGAAACCAAATGAAATCATTTCTTAGAGACAAAGTGTTCCCAGGCATGGAGCCTCTGTTCCCCAAGGTGCAGGCCTGGAAAGGGGCCAGGGCATCCCTCCTGTTCCCACTAACCGGGATTACCACTGGACAGAAGTGCAGTTGACTGGTTATGTTAGGTACTGAATCGAGTTGTATAATTCTTGCTTTTAGAGTGGGGAAAATCAGATGCAGTTTGTTCTGTGAGTATGGGCAGAGAAAGTTGCCCCCCTCAGGTCTGTGGTCCTCAACAGGAACAGGAGGACTCCACCCTCGTTTGCCTGTTGCTCTACAAAGTCATCCCACACTTATCTCCCAAACCCATTTGCCAAGTCCAACTCTGTGTCTCTGGGTAAAACACACTAATGAAACAGAATTCTTTTTTTTTTTTTTGTTCTATTTTGGTGACAAGAGAGATCCTTGATGGAAACTGGATCTGTAAGAAAAAAATAAGGATAGAGCTGTTAGCTTGGACAACATTCCATGACCTTGGAATTTTGGTGGCTTTCCAGTTTTACAACCCCATGGGTGAGGAGGGTTCAGCCGTTGAGGTCTTCTTGGAGAAAAATGAATTATATAGGATTCAAATTTCTTCCATTCTCTTGTCCAGTCTCCTTTTCAACCAAACAGCCACTTGGAGCCTGGTGTTCCCCTTCAGGCCGTAATGTGCTTATGCAAAAGGCCTGGCTCACACTTGGCTCAGTCAACATTAGCGTCTTCTATTCTCTCCCCACCCCCAGGGCCCCTAGCAGCTGCGGTGGAGCCTCCCTCCCGCAAAACTGGGCCATGGCAGTGAATTTTACTGTGCTCGGTGCCCGAAAGGAGAGGGGAAACAGCCCCTTCCTTTCGGTGCCTCCTCATTTCCAGTGGGATGCTAAGAGAGAGGCTTACCAAGCTTTAAGAAAGAAGGTTCTAGAAACACCTTTTACCAAAGAGGGGGTTTTGCCACTGCCATTAGATGGTTCTTTAGGCTCTGGACTGAGGAGGACACTAAACTATTTCCTTTCTACCAGGTCTAATTGCTGAGCCTTTGGAACTCAGGATGTCCCAGTGCACCTCCCCAGGCACACGCTGACTTTCACAAACCCTCATGATGCTTTCTGGGGTTCAAGCACTTGTCCAAGCCAAAAGGTCTGGACATTGGAGTTCATCTGTCACCTTCTAAAAGCACTCCTGCCTCTTGTCAGTGCTGCTGGCAGGGTTCCCACCTAGTTTGCTCTACTACTTTGTGCAGTAAAGGGAAGCAACCTCAGCCCCAGAGTTGGGGTAGAATATAGGGGGAGCTCTGGATTGGTCTAATGCATTCAGGGTAATTTAACTCCCCTCTGCCATTAATTTGTTGAAGAAGACATGAGACCCAATTCAGGGGTATGTCACCCCAATTAGGGGGAAGGTATACCAGGGTCAGGGGCTTCTGGGAAAAACTTAACTCAAGAAGAGACATAAGGAGGAGGTGGCCTTTTCCCTGACTTCTGAGGGTCAGGTATGAGGATGGAATTCTGGGAGCTCTTCCAGATATCTGCCCGTGAAGGGGAACGAGCCCCTCCTTTGCTGAGGGGTGTCAGAGCTGAAAGCCAGATTAGTCCCCAGGTCCCTGCTGACCCTGTTGAGTTAACCATCCATGTGCTGCTTCCCAAGTGTTCCCTGAGATAATCTCCCTGTTGCCATTTTGAATTAGGTTTTCTTGAAATTTGTAGCACCAAAAAATCTAAGCCACATTCCACTTATCAAATCAAGTCTTAAAATGCCTCGTGGCATTTGGAAACCGACCAATTTGCACTTTCAGTTTTATAGCTGAATTAAGGGGAGAGAAGTCCGAGGGCAGCACTTTCCTGTTTACCAAGCACCTTACTCATTAGAGGTAGGTATTTTTCATTCTGCCCACAAGTGAAGGCATTCTTCTCACGGGGCAGTGAAAACTTTTTGATCAGGAAGATCAGCATTGAGGGCAATGGTCGAAAATGCAGGATGTGTAGGAAGTAGGAAGGGCGAGTCCAGGAAGCACCTGGGTCAGCCCATCTATCCCAGGAGGGGAAGAGGCTGTGAACCTGGGTGTGGGTGCAGGGCCCCCCCCTCTGTTCACTTTACAGATGAGGGTGGGTCCCGGCCACAGGATAGGGAAGCACATGTCTGTCTGTCCGCACTCTGTGAGGCACAGAAGAACAAACAGAAATGTAGTAGCAGGGTTCTCACAATCAGGTCTCAGCCCTGCTCACCAGCGCCTTCTGCTGAGATTGTCTCTTTGCTGCCTTTTCCTACCTGTGGATACCACTTGTTGACCTGAAACCTACCTGCTCTTCCCTATCTCTGAGAACTTACTGAGACCCTGCATGCTTGCCTAGACCCAGAGCAAGCCCACGGCAGGTGTCTTCTCCATTGACACCTTCCTTCACTACCAGACTTTTAAATGGCATCTTCCTGGCCTCAGTTCCTGGCTTTCGGCTCTATTTAGGTCTTCTCCCTGAGTCATCTTAGCCACTGCCTGTGGCTGTAAATCTCAACTCTTATGAATCACTCCCACGCTTGGAGCTAAGACCTGGCTTTTCCAGTGACTTCCATATGTCCACCTGCTTCCGTGACATGTCTCTTTGGTAGTCCAACGCCTCAATAGTAACAACAGAATAGAACAGATCTCTCGATTTCCATCCTCTTCTGCGCCTTTTGCCTCTGGCAGTGGCACCCCAAGGAGTCATCCTTGAGGCTTCCCTTTCACTCATCGCTTCATCCAACCTATCAGCAAGACTTACTGGTTCTGGCTCCATAATGTCCCTGGTCACTTCCCCTCTGCAGCCATCCCCTTGATCCAAGCTCCATCTTTGCTTGTCCAGCCCAGTGCAGATGATTCCCACCTGGTCCTCCTCCCCCTTCCCCATCCTCTATCCAACAGGCACTGCGATTGTTTTGAAATCTTTGAAATGAAAAACCAACAGCTTGAGAGACATCTAGAACATGAAATCTTCAAGGCTGTACATGACCTTGGTCTCCCCTGTGATAGCATCCTGACCACCAGAGCTCTAGCCATATTGGTCTCTTCTCTGTCCTGAAACATGTTAAGTTCCTTCCTGCCTAATTGTTGGATCTGCTCTTCTGTCTGTAAGCACCCTCTTCCCCCAGATTTGCACTGTCTGTCTCATTCTGCCCTATACGTCTCAGCTCAGAGAGGCCTTCACAGACCAGCCTATTGCAAGCAACATACCCGCCTGCTCACCCGCCCTTCTCTGCTCTTTATCAGATCTACTTTATATCTTTATTTCCTTGATAACACTTGCCACCAAATCAAGTGATCTTGTTTATTCATTAAACGGGTCAATTGTCTGTCTGTGGCCACTGGAATGCGGGCTCCCTGGCCGGGGGGATGGATCTTTTGTCTGTCTTGGTTTACTCCTATAGCACAGTGGGAGGGACCCAAGAAATATTAATGAATGAATGCATTATTTAACCAATGAACATGCTCTCTTGTCATTTGGACTCTGCCGTCTAGCTTGGGTGTCAGATAAGCATTTGTCTCCATGGGAATTACTATCCCCTACCCTCTTTGCCTGGGAGCCTTGGCCAGTCTAGATCCACAGACTTTACTGGACTTCCAAGCCCGAAGCCCTTGCCTTGGCCTGTGGGTGGGTGTGGCCAACCATTTCCCTCTGTGGTCATCGTGTCTCACAGTCCCCAGTGTGGTGCCGGGCACATGGTCAGTACTGACACGCGACAGCTGTGCTGACCCACTTGCCTATTTACAGGGGCTCCTGCGGGGAACCCCAGGGTGTTGGCGTGGGAGACACTATGTTTGACTAGTGTCCAGGAATTGTCACTGCAACTTCTAGGCTTTTAGAAAGTCCTCTCCTGACCCCTGCTGGTGGCACCATAATTAGACCTCTTACTCCTAGTGTCCACTGAATGATGGGATAGGACACTGGAGTGCGGGCTCTGGCAGAAGCAAGTCTGGAAGAAGCCAGGTCTTGCTGATGAGGTCAGTTAAAGCACATTTCAAGGGTCCCAAAGCCAATGAGCACACCATCCCAGTGCTGGAACCAAAGTTTGACCAAAGCAGTGGGTCACGTGGGGGAAAGGCCACCTCATCAGAATTGCGAGGCATGGGCTACAGGGCCTGGGAAGGAGCCTGTCTCAGGCGGCAGGAGCCTGTCTCTCCCTCAAGGGACACTGGAGTGGTCAGGGGACAGCTATGGCTGGAGAAAAGAAGTCTATCCCTGGGAGGACCAGCCTGTCAGGTATGAGTTCTGTTGTTGGACTAGTTTTATCTGGCCTGGAGAAGGCGGGTCCCCAGGCCTGCCTCCAGGCAAGGGGCCCACCCTAAGAAGACATAAGGAGTCACCCTTCAGAGCAGAAGAAAGAGGTGAGCGGTGCCAAGTTCAGGCACAGCATGCATTGGTCAGTTTGTTAAATGAGGTCAGCAATATAGAACCCCACAGGCCACTTGAACCCTCACCTCCAACACACTCACAGCCTCAGTCTCTGGGGAATCTTGTTGGCTTTGCCACAGATTCACTCTCAGTGGCAGGTACGTGACCTACTCCAGGCCCTGGACGGGGTTCCACTCTACTCCCCTCCTCCCGTTTTTCCCCTTCCCCATCCCCTTTACTCATCCTCCTTGCTGTCTATAAACATCTCCCTCCTCCCCTCCCTGAGCCCCTCCATGCAGGGCCCCCAACACCACATTAAGTCACCAGGCTCTCTGCCACTCATCTTTCAACCCTGGTTAAAGCAAAGACAGCGTCCTGGCGTGCAGCTGCCGATCTTAGGGTCCAGCGCGTGTCCTTGGAACACACAGGACAATGCCTTGAAAGCTGAGCTTTTCTTGGGCACCCTCCTCTGCTAGAAGTCCATGACATTTGGGATCCATATCTCCTGTGAGTCTTTTTATGGCAAGCAATAGGGTTTTCCATTTATGGCCACACTTAAATTTGCCTTGAAAATAAATGCATGTAAGTTCAAAAGAAAGCTAATTTTAAAAAGAGTAAGGCTATTGCAGGTGTCAAAGTTGGCCGAGTTTGGGGAACACTGAGTTAGGAGGCGGTGTTGATGACGCAGATGGAGCAGCGGCTGTGTGGAGGGCCTCAGCTGGGCGAGGCCCTCTGCTGAGTGTTTGACATGCGTGTTTTTCACCTACTCCCTCAACAACCCAATGAGAGGGGTACAGTTATTACCCCCATTTAACAAGATGATGATGGCAGGAGTTAAGGAAAACTTGCTCCAGGCCCCAGAGATCCTGGATGTGGGAGGGGAATCCAATCTCAGGCTTGCCTGACACCAGTGGCAGAACCCAAGGGGACACCGTGGCCCCGGTTGTAAGGAGCCTTTAGAACACAACGCTTTCGCTCAGGGCCATTCTTCAAACTGCTCATCACCACCTGTGACCCGGCCTGGTGAGTCTGAACATCCCCTCATTAAATCCTCAAAACCGCTGCCCCTGGAGGTAGTTATTATTCCTCCTTCTTTAGCAAGGACATGCCTCTTACAGAAGTTAAGCGAGGCATCTCCGAAGACCCAGTTACCGGGCCCCGTCTCCGAAGCCTGCACCTTTCTGACCACTCCCACGATGGTCATAGTCACGAGACCGGCCAGCTGGCCAGCCCTGTCCTCTGAGCACCCTATGTCTGACTCCAACAATCTCAGGACAGAGGTCCCATGACCTTCCTGGTTTATAGACCGGGAAACTGAAGCCCTCAGCTACTCTGCTATTTCATGAAGCTTAAGGTGCTTTTATTCTTCCATGAAAGTCCCTTGATCAGGCAGCAGAGCCCCTGAGTGGATGGTGAGCTTCCTTTTTGGGTTGGGCTTCTGAGATGCTTTGAGCATCTGTTCCCACCACATGCCCTATTGTGGCCATTCCTCGTCCATTCCTATGGCTGGTGGAGTCTGGGGATGGGTTGAACAGCTGCCATTACCATTACCCCCCAATATTAGGCATTCACTGCCAGTGGATTTGACAATGGCAACAACCATGGGTGCTCTTGGTGCCCACCTAGATCCTCTTCCTGGGCAGGTGCATCCATTCCCCAGCTCCTGCTAACTGTGAATGTTGGCTGCTAATTACTCAGAGCTGCCTCCTTCCCCAGGAACTTTCTCTCAAGAGGGCAAATGAGATCTGCTTTTCCCCAAAGACATACACTCCCCATCCTCACTCCTACTGCCAATTACTCAATGATGGAGGAGCACAGAAGGCCAAGCTTCTTGCTCCAAGGTGAGACCAGCTCTGTGGTTAATTCACATGCCAGAGCTCCCCTGGGATCAGGCTGAGGCTGGACTCCAGCCGAGACCTCCTCCTTGTCCTACTACTTCCTCTGTCCTCTCTCATCTCCTTCACTCCTATTTTCCCTCATAAATCCTATGCACCAAATCCCTGTCTCAGGCTCTGCCCCTGGGAGCCTGGCCCAAGACAGGGGAGGCCCGGAGATACCATGTAAGGCATGCTCTCTGCCCTCAAGGACTGTGCAATGTAGTTGGAGAAACAGGACACATAGGTACCAAGAAATCACCCACAGTACAGGGTAGAAAAGGCTGGAGAAAACAGTGTTAAAAAGATGGGGAGATCACTGGAACTGTGTGGGGGAAGAGCTTATGGAAGAAATGGGGCCAGGTCATGAAAGATAAGTAGCACTTCAGAAGGGAAAGTTCTCTCCGCAGAGAGAAAGTTCCAAGGGAAGTCCCAAAGAGAGATGGGAACCTCTGTCCAACCTCTGTCCAACTTCTCCGGCTTCTTCCTGCCTGGGATCTGTGACTAGGGAACCCCCACCCCCCAGTGAATGTTGTGGGAACTCTGATTTGACAATCCCAATAATGGGTCTAGCATTTTCCAAGAGTATCAGGGCTGCTTGAGAGAGCCATGTCAGATGACCCTGAGGCCAGGAAGTCACTCAGTTCTTAAGCTTTCCCTGAGAGGCTGGAGGCTTGGTCCACCCATAAATTATTCCTCATTTATTCCCAGAAGGGACAGACACTCCCTCAGCCCTGCACTGCAGGCACGGTGACCCAGTGGGCTTGAGCGTTACCTGTGCAAGAGGACGGAGGCACAAAGGGGGTACACATACCTGCCGGACCGTGGGCCTGGGGGGTTGCTCACAAGGATTCAGTGGTGTAATAGGCAGCTCCTAGGGCCCCCAGAACCACAGCAGCAGTCCCGAGAGCTTGGAGCACGCGAATTACGATGAGTGGAGTGTTTCCTTGTAGGTTTTCTGTAGAGCAAAGTAGAAAGCCCACAGGTTGGGAGAATCTGGACTCTAGTGCCTGTCCAGAGACAGGGGAGGCAGAAACTGTAGGATCCCCTCAGCAGTTCAGAAATGCCCATCTCCCCACTACTGATGCTCCTCCCAAAGGAAAACAGCTCTGTCCACCTCTGTCCGGTGACTCCCTGCCACAGGACCCCCACCTCCAAGGATGGGCAAGCCTGGGATGCCAGCTCCTGGGGACACTCAGGAAGCAGGACATGAAGGCAGGGAAGGCTGTGGTGTGCAGGCCCGAGCTAAACATCTCACACCCAGTGTCTTCCTCCAGCCTCACAACAACCCCGTGAAGTAGGTTCTATCATGGGGCTCCATTTTGGAGAAGAATCATCTCAGGAAGCCCCATGGGGTGCCCACCACAGAGGCAAGGAAGATGGACCATCGTGCCAGTGACTGTGAGGAAGGCTTTCCCAAAAGGCGATATCCATTTGGACAACAATCCTGCTGAAGTAGGGAATCTTATTTGATGTGAATGTGTATTTAAAACCAAGATCCAACATTCGGCTCCACTGAGAAATGTAAAGAATATGGAAGCTGATGGTGTGATTTGGGTGGAATTGAGACTAGAGGTCTCACCCGGGCCAGGCAGCGTCTCTGCCCCTCCCTCTCCTTCCCCTAATGGGGAACCACCTTGCTTTCACCTTTCCCTCCACCTTTTCACAGTAAGCCAGGGGAAGATCCCAAGACCCTTCTAGACTCAGCGCAGATAGATACCATTGACACTATAAAGTCTCTGTGGACCCCAACTTTGGAGGGAGCTCCCCTTTTTTCTGAAGCTCTCTGAACTTCTAAGAAGCAAGGCTCACTTCTGGGCTCCCATCTTAGTTTTCTGAATGTACACGTCTCACCTTGCCACATAGACTGCACGATTTTTAAAGGGTCAAGTTCCCTGTTCTGGTTTTCCTCACAGTATCTAGTCTTCTATGCCCAGGAGGGGTTCCCACTTGTTGGTTTTAAAGCGACATGAAATCCATGGCATGGCTCGACAGATGGACAGATGGACAGAAATACTAGGTGTGTGAGAGAAAAATCAGTAGAGGTGAGCGGCGGGCAGGTCGTTCCTTGATGGGACTTACCGGACTGTAGAGTATTTTTAGCTCTACACATGTTCTCTCAACACACTGGGCTACCTGTTTGCCTCTCTCATGTCCGAGAGGTGATGATTTTCAGGGATGGACAGGAGAGTGGATTTGGTGGGGGAGGGAGCAGGAAGAGAGTGAGGCATCGGTTCTGCTCCTGGAGTAGGGGTCTGAGATCCCCAAGCAGGAAGTCTATTCATGGACATTGGTGAGACCTTTGAGTATAGGTATAGCTACTCTGGGGCCCAGTGCTGGGGACAGAGGGAGGCACATAGCCTTGCGCTACTGGGAAAGTGGACTGACATTTTTAGTTCCGTTTTCTGTACAGGGGTCTTCCCAAGAGTGGAAGCAGCAGCCACCAGGTGGCTTTCTCCTGATGGCTTCGTGGGAGAGGAAAGGAAGGGCAGGTACCTCAGAAGATGCTGTGGGAGCCTGGGGGCATGTCCCCTGTGGAGACTGTCAGAAATAGTGTGAAACATGAAACCCTCTGAATGGGGTGGAGGTCTTGCTCTTACCAACCGGCCATGTGAGTTCCAATCAGTATTTATCACTGAATTCTGGGGGAAATTCATAAGCAGGTCAAAAACCTGAAGCTCTCTGATATGGTGTGGGCCACAGAAGGAGGCCGGTGGCCCAACAGAGCACTGAATCACAGTGCTCTGAGTGAGAGAGACTTTTCTAAGGGCTGCGAGGGAGTGTGCTCTGAGGAAGAAGGGGGACTATGGAGAAAAGAACCACGAGCCTCCTAAAGAAGTCATTTCCGGTAAGGAAGAAAACTGGCCCCTCTTTGTGCAGGTGGGGGACCCCTGGGCGTGGGTCTGGTCAGAAAGGACAGGGTGCCAAACCCCAGGAAGTGGCCACCCTGGAGAGGCTTCCCTTCCGTCTGGGATTCTCAAGAAGGAGTTACAACATGGCAGCTAATAGGGTCCAGGACAGAGCCAGGCCCTGGGACCCGAGTGCCCTGAGGGTCCAGCCCCCCACACGCTCCAGAACCTGTAGAAAGTGAGGAGGCTTGGGGATCCTCTCCCTGGCATGGTGGGCCAGACCCGAGGAAGGAGGACATCAAAGATGCGGCTGTGACACAGGCCCAGACGACGCCAGCAAGCGGAGCTGCCGGGGCAAGTGGAACAGGAACAGAAGGCCCGCGGGCCCGCACGAGTCACAGCCCCTGGATGGACAGAGAAGGAGAGAGATGAGGGACCCCTGCCTCTAGGAGGCGTGGGAGAGCTAGGGAGACAAGGGAGGGAAGACTAGCAGGGGAACCTGGTTGTTTTAGAACCTGGAGCTCCCCAGGCCATTTTGAAATAATGGCGCTATTATTTTTTTATTCTCAGTTTATAAACAGGGAAACTGAGGCTCAAAGAATAGATGGGATGTGGCCTTGTAACACAGAGATTGGAAGAAGTGGGTTTCAGCTCAGGGCTTCTAACTCGTCTGGTGCTCCATCCATGGAATTCAGAGAAAATGACAGCGGTAGGAGAGTGACTCCGAGATTCCACTGGAACATGGTCCATTCTTCTGCAGTTTATTGACTGATCCAGAAGATAGTGGCTGCTCCAATTTACAGTCCTTGAAACACTTTCCCAAACTTCTCTCCCATTTGTCCTCTGCTGAGGATGCCAGGAGTCCTCAGATATGGCGCCGTCTGCTGACAGTTTGAGGACATTTTCCTCCTCTTCCTGGCTTGGGTCTTGGCTTCTTGACACAGCTACACGTTCTTCCAACGTAAGCTCCCCAAAGCCAGTGATCAATGGGGCAGACAACACACACTTCCTCCTTAGACCTGCCTACCACAGTTATTTTCCTGGAATGGAGAAGGAAGGGATTCTAAAAGGCAAGACTTATCTTTTTTCTTTGTTAATTTTTTTTAACAGACATTTAATTTCTGTGTTGTAATATTTATTCTTTAAAGTGTTCAGTGGTTTTTGGTATATTAACAAAGGTGTAAATCCATCATTACTGCCTAATTCCAGAACATTTTCATCTTGCGCTCCAAGGAAACCCCATGGCCATTTGCGGTCACTGCCTTTTCCCACCTCCCCCCAGTTCCGATCAATGGATTTACCTATTCTGCACATTTCAAAAATGGAATCGTGTACAATATGTGGGTTTTGGAGGGCTAGCTTCTTTCACTTAGCCCAATGTGTCTCAGGCTCATCCATGTTGTAGCACGTGTCAGTGGTGCCAAATAGGATTTCATTGTATGGACGCACCACATGCTGTTTATCCATTCATCAGATTGTTGATATTGAATTTGTCCCACTTCTTGGCTACCATTAATTAATGTCGCTGTGAACATTCATGTGCACGTTTTTGTATGGATGTTCTATTTTTAATTCTCTGGGGTGTGTCTCCAGGAGTGGAATTGCTTGGTCATACAGTAACTTCACATTTGACCGTTTGAGGAACTGCCAGATTGTTTTCAACAGCAGCTGCACCATTCTGTGTTCCCTCCAGCCATGGATGTGGGTTCCATTTAGATTTTAGGGGCACCTGGGTGGCTCAGTTGGTTGAACGTCTGACTTGATTTCGGCTCAAGTCATGATCTCAGGGTTGTGGAATCGGGCCCCATGTTGGGCTCTGTGCTTGACTCGGAATCTGCTTGAGATTCTCCCTCTTCCTCTCCCTCTGGCCTCCCCACCTCAAATAAATGAATAAATAAATAAATAACATCCTTAAAAAAAAAAAAAAAGATTTGGATTTCAGAAAATGGCGCCCTTATGTACAGGCCCTCATCCCTTATCATCCACCCTTTTTTGCACTCTGGCTTGAATAAAATTCCCCTGGCAGAAAAGTGCAGGGTGTCCACTGTAACCATGGGCAGGCCATCCCTGTCACCTGCGTGGCCTTCTCAATAAGCAGAATTCCTCCCCAGGGGTGAGCCACACGCATTCCTCAAAAGATGTGGGGATGGAACATTTTGCTTTCTACAGATATCAGTTCTGAAGGCCATAATCCAGAAATGTTTCCACCAGTGGTTGATGATCACAATATATGCAATATGTAACACTCAAAACCATTTCTACATGTTAAGAATGGGTTGGTTCTTAGCCACCGAAATACCATTGTCCACGCAATCGCTTGGGGCTAGCTCTCTCACTCACACCTCACTTGCAATTTATATCCACACCATCCCTGAGGAATAAGCTGTGACCCAGAGAGTGTGTGTGGCCTATTTGGGACCATAAAGTCCCTGGCACTGGCTGATGGTGAGGCCAAAAAAAGCTCAGAGAAGGGTGTTCCTCCTCCTGGGGAAACTTGGGACTCTTGGGATCAGAAGGTCAATGCTGCAGTTAAGAGTGAAGATTATAGAGTCAGAATCGACGGAGGTCCCCCTCTTGGTGTTACCAGTGCCTGCTTGAGAATGTGTTGTTTGATTTCTTTGAGCCTCAGTTTCCCCATCTATGAAAGGGAGAATGTGATGATAATACCTCCTTTATAGGACTGTTAAATGGGAAGATTCACACTGACAGCTGAGCTGAATGCTAGGTACATGGTAAATGCTTGCGGGTAATTGTTAGTTCGTTACTACCATTATTATTATTATTAGAAGTAGTAATATTAACCAGCCTGTCTCCCCAACTCCACTTAATTCCCCCTACGCAATCCAATGCTCAGTCAGATTCTAGCTACCCAAGAAGACAGAGGGCCACTTTTCCTAGACAGCCATTCCATTTTCAGACAGAACTAATTGTTGTAAATGTCTTCGTGTTGAGCAGAAATCTGCCTGTCTCTAGTATCTTCCATGGGTAAGGCTGCCAGATTTAGCAGATAAAAATACAGAATGCCCATGCAATATCTGGGACTAGAAAATTACTTGTTTATCTGAAATTCAAATTTAACTGGGCATCCTGTATTTTATCTGGCAACCCTGAGTCAGACCTCTGAGGCCAACAAAGAACAAGTCTACTCACATCTTTTACTTGACAGACAGATTTCCTCCAATTCCTTCAACCAAATCTCATACATCACATGGTTCTTGCTTTCCCAACCCCTCAAACCCCATTATCTTCTTTGGACTAGATTGCTAGGCATCTTTCACAGCACACAAGAGTATGAATGACCACCTCCCTTGTCCTAAACCATATACTTCTATTAACACATCCTTGGTTTTTATTTTTGAGCAGCCGCACGGCACTTCTGACTCCTAATAAGATAGTATCACCACCGAGCCAAGCACAATGTTGATCGATGTGTATGTGTGGCTGCCTTCACTGAGACCCAGGGTGGTGAGGACTGGCAAAATCCAGGAATCCTGAAATCCTAGGTAACAATAAAACCCCAAACCCTCACATTTCACCAGCACTTTCCAGAATACAGGTCAACCATGCACCATTACCCGAAATGAACCCGCCTCCCGGGGACCCTAGGACTCCACCAGCAGGAAAGCTAGATGTTCTTGAGTTAGAAGCCTGCCCACCTGTTTTCCTGGATCGAGAGGATGCTTTCGTGTTAGTGTCCTGAGGTAACAGGCCCCGGGTGGAGGAGTTGGTTTCAGGAGCTGGGAGAGCCTGGGGCGCAGACTGTCGGGGGGTGCTTACGGAGCTGGCTTGGGGGGTAGATCTGGGGCTGGCCTGCTGCGGGGTGGAGGCGGGGCTGGGCTGCTGTGGGGTGGAGGCGGGACTGGGCTGCTGAGGGGTGGAGGCGGGGCTGGGCGGCTGGGGGGTCAAGGCGGGGCTGGGCTGCTGAGGGGTGGAGGCCGGGCTGGGCTCCTGCGGGCTGGATCTGGGGCTGGGCTGTTGCGGAGTAGATGCGGGGCTGGGCTGCTGCGGGGTGGACTCGGAGCTGGTGCGCTGGGAGGTGGAACCATGGCGTCTGGATTCCTGCTTCTTCCTTTTGCCCTTCCTCATGGTGGGTTCTCTTCACCTAAACGTGGACCTACATGGAGCTGCCTAATCTTCCGGCTCCCTCCTGGAGGGGCCGTTTGCCCCTGCCCTGGGGGAAGGCTCTGGCCTCGGGAGGGACCTAAGCCCCGCAGAGAACAGTCACCTCCACCCCTCCTGTGAGGTCACAAACCCAGGGTGGTTCCTATGGCAGGGCTCTGGGGACAGTCTTCTCTGCCTACGCCAGCCTGCTGTCTTCCCTCCTCCCCAGCAACCGGGATAGGCAGAAGGCCCTCAGGGACCTGGGTGAGCCTGGCTACGGGAACGGGGACATCCTGGACTCCCCAAGATGTTGCGACCAGAGCGCCTCCTTCAGGCACCTCTCCGCTGGTGCTCTCCTGGGTCCCTAAGCACTCTCTGTTTGCTTTTAGACCCCCCTGACTCTGAAGCTCAGCTCTGCCATTGGTTTCCACAACCCAAAACAAACTACTTCACCATGCATCCTGTGAGTTTTAGGTAATTCTACTGAAGATTTGGGGGTACACGGGAGGTCCGCAAGCTTCTCCCATCTCAGCTGTTTCCTCCCCATTCAGAAGATCTTAAAGTAGCTTCACCCTTCTTCCAAAACCTGCCCTCCCCACTGTAGGAAGGGGCTGGGGATCCGCAACTTGGATAGGAACCTCGCTTTTGCAAAAGAATTTCCCCTATAAGACATCACAGTTTGGAAAACTACACTTTCTTTGAACTCAGTCGCGGCAATGATGGACTACCTCTCAAACCCCAAACTCGTCGGGTCAATTAGGAGACTATGAATATTACTTCAAGGTAAAAATATGATTTTCCTTTCAGGATGGAAGTGGAGAAGGCATTTTTAAGACAAGCCTAAGCTTCACGCTGTGACCGCAACACAATGTGCTCACCTTAGAATACTCTACCTTTGCCATAAATGCATCAAAAGGTGGGTGAGTATTCAGCAGCGAACCTCATGCTCTTGGGGGTGGGGGTGTGTGATGCCCTTGGCCAAGGGTAGGATTTAGGGCAGACATTGCTAGAAGGCACCTCCATGCAAGGCCAGACCCGATGTGAAATGTGAAATGACAGAAAGTATTTTGGGATCCTAGATCCTGAAAAGACCGTAATGATTCTCTTTTTCGCAGAAGAGAAACTGAGGGAAACTTGGGGAAATTAAATCACCTTCCAAGATCACACAGCTAGTTGGAAGCATTGACAGGGCGAAGTTCCTATTTCATTTCATGATTCCAGAAGGCAATAGGGAATCAGATCATTATACAGACCTTAAAAGTCAATGGGCTAGAAAGATCCCTTGAGTGAGAAGACTGAATTCTTTTAAAAAGAGGCACCAAGGATTAGAAGTGGAAGATCCCTCAGATCAATAAAGTCAGATTGGATTTGGTTGACCATCAGCACAAAGAAGTTTAAGGAGCAGCTGAGTCTACAAGAAGGTGGTAATTAAAGTCAAGAGCAATGGATCCCTCTGCGGAAGTCAATTTAGAATCAGAGAGACTGGAAAACCGGGGTCAGGGACCCTGTCCAGATTTAGCAAACAGGTCGGGAACTCCAAAGGCATTTATCTCTGCAAAATTAGATTTCCAGACAACAGTGGGCTTTTGCCTGGGGCTTCAACCTGATTTAAATCAGGGGTTCTCAACCTCAGCTCTATTGACATTTGAGGCCAGATAAATCTTTGCTGTTTGAGCTGGATGATTCTCCTGTGAATTGTAGGAAGTTTACCAGCAGCCCTGGCGTCTGCCACGATATGCCGGTTGCAACTGCTTCCCCCAACCAAAGATGTCTACAGACAATGCTAAATGCCTCCGTGTGTGTGTGTGTGTGTGTGTATGAGAGAGAGAGAGAGAGAGAGAGAGAGAGAGAGAATTGCTCCTGGTTGAGAACCCCTGTTTTAAATGTATTAGATAAGGGGCGAACACGCATGGGTAGTCTTTCCTGGTAGAGATGAAAGAAGTGTGTCATTTCACACCAAGGAGCCAAATGGCACAGAAAACAAGTCTCTCTTCCTGAGGAGAGCGATGGAGAAAACACAGAGGCTCAGGCTTTGGGAGGAGTGGAGAGTTTTTCTACGGCAATGGAAAAAAATATGGGTGGGTTCTTTCATAAGGGTGGTCCCAAGAAGCAGGGAGACGGCACTCATGGAGTGAAAGGTTGGCCCAGAGGGATGAGGAAGAATGGCACTGTGATACTTTGCTAAAAGGTCTTCCTTGGCCCCCACTGCCTTCCCGCTGGAGCACAAGTTCCCGGCTGGAAGTCTGACTTCTCTATAATACGGTCACAGACCAGCATCCCAGGTATACTGACCAACTCTCTGCTACCTTTTCTAGCTCTTGCCAGCTGTGAGAGTGGAGGCTTGCTTTCCTCCATCTGTGAAAGCCCTTCCCCTCTCTCAGGCCCCTCCCTCCCTATCATTACACTTCCCATCATCAGGTTCCATCCCAAGTGGACCGGTCTCCTCGAGGTCCCCAACTGGAAGAGACCCTTCCCTCCCCGAGTCCCAGATCACATACCGCATGGTGTTAGAGTGATGGGTCTAGTGTTTTCCCTCGAGTTCCCTACTCCCAGGCTGTGAGTATCCTGGAGGGCCCGAGTCCAGAGAAGAAGCTCAACACAAGCTTCTCGAAGGCGAGGGTAGGAGGACAAAGAAAGCAGGAAACCGCCGAAGGCAGGGTGAGCATGGAATGTGGGGGCCAACAGACTGTATCACGAAGGGGTTACTTTCCTAAGACGGGCTGGGGTTTTCTGGCCTTGCCTGAGGATCTTGGAACAGTCCACAGGCAAGGGGCTCTCCTACTTGACCTGGCAGCCACGGGACAATCTCGTGCACTATTTGGCAAAGTGAGAAGATGGAGTCTAGGGGGAGGTGAAGTGAGGATGAGGTTCTGAAGGTGTGAACGTCCACACCCGGTGGTTCTGGACCTCTGGCTGCTTCCAGGGCGCTAAGAGCAAGCGTGTCAGCATTTGCCCCGAAACTCGCATCTTATGGTTGGGTGACACCTCAGACACCAGCTGGCCCTTGGCTCCCACCTGTGAGGAACGGGAGCTAGTCCTCCAAGGGGACAACCTGCTCTCGTCACCAGTAGGAGGGTGGCTGAGCTTTGAGTGACTGGGTATTGGAACTCCCCGTCCCAGGCGCTTCCTTCCCTGCTGCCACCCGCCTCTGGAGAGGACTTCCCAGAGACAGAGGGCACCTGGTGCTCATTCCAGAGCTCAGTGTCCAAGGCTCTGGACCCTCTGGGGCCATAGGCCTGGATTACTTGATAGGCATGCACTCAAGAGTGGAGCAGGAATCCCGACCCATCACCTCCTCCCAAGCTTAGCTGTGAGGAGGAGACGTGAAAAGCCCTTAGGACAGTGCCTTCTGCACACCAGGCGGGGTTTTCTTGTCAATTATGCTTCCCTTGGAGGAGAAGCCTCCAGAACCAATCAAGGAGTAACTGGATGTGGAGAGGCCGGGGTGGGCCTGGGTCCTAGAAACTCCCAAATCTGTACCTTGCAGAAGTGTGATTCAGGGTGCAGGGGGAGAAAGGGGCTGGGTGGATGGGTGGGAAGAGTTTAATTCTACAAATTCAGTAAATGTGAATACTTTTGACCAGAGATTGCCCCAGCGAGCACACCTGGGCTGAGAAATCTAATGAATCTTCATCCACATGGGGGATGTGTCCACTCCCCTGGACCAGGACCGCACTCCCTCCATCCTTGCAGTTTCCATGCACCCCTTCCCCCGACCCCCGCCCGCTGTCGGGACCCTCACCATCCGTCTGGGTCTCCTGATCCACGAGGAGGACGCTGCCCCGCGCCCTGGCATTGTGCCCTGTGCTGGCGGCGGGCTGGACGTCCAGGGCGCAGTCCGAGCGGCTGGGGCGGAACACCGCCGTGTGCACCTCCACCGAGGGGCTGTGCGGTGCGAAGGCGCTGCAGAGCAGGGTCTCCATGCGGCGGCGCGCCTCGGCCTCTTCTTCCGGCTGCGGCTGCACCACTATCCCGACGAGCGCAGCAGGCGGCTGGCGGTGCCGCGCGTGTACCTGCTGCAGGAGCAGCTGCAGCCGCGGCAGGTTGGAGCGCAGCGCCGACGCGCGGCACAGCACCAGGAGCAGCCGGGGGCTGCGCTGGGGCGCCGGGCAGGGCACCCAGCCTCCCGACGGCGGCTCCTCCGCCGCCTCGCAGCAGGAGGTCTCAGACCCAGCCCGAGCCGCCCGGCACTCGCACGGGTCCGTGGCCTTGCACCTGTCGCACCGCCTCTCGTTGGCGCAGCGCCTGCACTTGGCGGCGGGGCAGTCGGCGCCGTCCCACCCGCTGTTACCCGGACGCTTGCGCTGTCGCGTGGCGCAGCTGCTGTGGTAGCTCGCGGCTCGAGTGGACGAGGGCCCGGCGCAGTGATCGTCCGGAGCCTGCTCCAGAACGTCCTGCACGGTCAGGCAGCCCTCATCCCGCTTCCAGAGCTCGCCGAACAGCAGTATCCGGCCGTGGCCCTCGACGGGCTGGGCCCGAGCCTGTTGCTGAGACTCCGCCTTCCTGTCCTGCGGGGCCCTGGAGGGCCCGGCCCCAGGTTCCATGCCCGGTCCCGGCTCTCTTGCCCCTCTGGGGCCCGGGCGTCTGTTGGCCACGGGACAAGCCGCCCTTCCCTGGAGCATGTCACAATACCCCTGCGCCCTACCTCTTCCTGTCCTGACCCAGGGCCTCCGCCCTCTATTTTTTGGAAATCTTCCAACATAGGGAAGTCGCTGCTGCTTGCCGCGGAAATGCCAGCTGTGTTCAGTTTCTCTTGTCATTTTGTGTGCCTTCGGTGTCAACAGGGGAAATCCTTTTATCTTGGGGATGGACCATTATGCCCAAGCCTCCAAGTAAAACAGATTTTCCTGCACCTCACAGGTACTTAAAAAGCAGTGGGAAAAAAAAAAAAAAAGATAAAAGGCAGTGGATCCTGGTGCTCACTGCACCTGGGACACCTGAAAAGCGGTAAGGAACAGAGCCTGGGCTACTTGCTGGATGAACTG